ATCTATCCGTTCATCCATCCATTCATCCATCCATCCATCCATCCATCATTGAAACCTTCCTTCAGCTTCACCTTGCACAGATGCAGCAGATGTTGTGTGATGTTCCAGCCTGCAGTTTTTCTACGTTTGCTTCTTGTTCCACCTGGAAAGACTCGCCTTGTTTTCTCGTTCACAGTTTTATAGCAGACAACCAGATGAATCAGGCCATCGTGCTTTTTGTGGAGGACTGCGGTGCTCACATCATCCGCCGGAGCCTCTGCCGCAATTTCCTCCTGCACTTAGTCAGCATGCACGACTTCAACCTGGTGAGCACGGCCACCATCGACCGCACCATGGCACGCCTGCAGCAGATTCAAGAGGAGCTGCCGGACGTTGAGGAGCAGCGGGATCAGAGCGCAGCAGCGTACAACAGCAGCGCCGCCACATCCAGCGGGGGGAAGCAGGGCAAGAGGACAAAAAGTGCGCTGACAGACTGACGTGAGGAACAACCGCCGAGTCTGGTTGGTCTGTTTTCTCCTAACTGGTGCTTAGATAGGTGGACAGCCAGGTCTCCAGACCTGACGTGGACCAGCACACAAACCGAGCAGGCTTTTTTTTTTTACACGAGAACTGAACCAAATCTGAACAGTCTGGAAGTGAAACAGCTGCATGTGCAGAAACCAGGAGTGGACGATGAGCTCAGCTTTTCATACGAGCTTCTGCTCGGCTGCTTCCAGCAGCAGCCGACTGTACGCGCAGTTAAAACTGTACCCGTTGTCACTGCTCGTTGTACACCCATGTTTAAGACTTTTAGCTGATTATTTTAGCACTTCTTCATGGTATTTAGAAGGTTGACCTTGACGTTGACTTTTATACGACAACACCCTTTAATGTCAAAGACCACACAGGTGAGAGAAGCTGCAGTCACTCATGACGTCTGAAGTCCATAAAGGCTGGAACTCTTGTGCCAGGACCCCAGAACGATGAGCTCTCTGGTAAAGGACAAGTGTTTTAGTGTCGGCTTCCATCCTGGACGAGATGAACTCGGCTTCAGGTCCATCCTGGACGAGATGAACTCGGCTTCAGGTCCATCCTTCCATCCTGGACGAGATGAACTCGGCTTCAGGTCCATCCTGGAACGTTGACCTCTGCGAGTTGAAGCCGGTCCACGGACGACTAGAAAAATGATGTTTTAGGTTTTTCTACGAAGCAGCAGCGCGTTGCTCCCTGTGGCATGTAGAGTACCAGCTGCACTTACTTTTCAAAGGCTAAAAACGTGTTTTTGTTTTTTACAAGAGTTATCAGTATTAATAGCTGAAATAAACGTGTATTCGTATAATCGCATGAACTCTTTAGGTGTTCTCGGTCTAGTAATCAACGTGTTGCAGTTCTTTTCTCAGACGTCCTTTCAGGTTAGATGCAGTTCACACCAAAGGGGAAACTTTTCACCGATCTTAGTTTCTTTATATTTTTCCTTCATTTCACAAGAAGATTTTTAAGCTGTATTTGTTTGGTTTTTTGTGCACATATGAATTGATTATTACCAATATTCATTGTTACAATCAACTTCCTTTGGTTGACTACCAAATTACCAGTGTAGTTTTCCTCTTCAAGGCTTGAAGTTAAAGGGGTGCATTGTCAAAAGTTGTAAACGTCACATTCTGGCTAAGGAGTATTTTATATTTAAAGAAATAAAATACATTTTCTCTTACTCAAACCTCTTTATTTTTTGGACAAGATAAAAAAGGTGCAGCTGCTGAAGTGTGGCTTTCATTCAGTAAAATGTTTAGATTCACTCATTCAACCTTTATTTCTACAGGTTAAGCGCCCAGTGTACGTGCGCGCGCACTGTCCACAGGGTTCAGACTTCATATTCGAGCAGCTGCAGAGCAGCTCTGCAGACGAGGGGCGTTTACCTTCAGGACAAATTGAGGTCACCGATTGGTCATTTGCTGACACGCCTACTGGATTGATTGACAGGTCGGGGGGGGGGGAAACTGCGCTGGCAGCCTCAGCCACAGCGGTGTTCTGTGTTTATATGTTGTTAATAAAAAGATCTAAAAAAATTAAAAAAACGGAGCACTGGCCCTACAGTCCACACATCAGACCAGCCCACCAGGAAACCTCCAGACCTGCAGCCACGCTGGACCTGAATTTAATTCCCTCGTAACAAATTCCTTCATTTCTCACCATTTCAGTCGTGGCATCAACGGAGGAGGAAGAGATCTCTGCCTCTTGGCAACAAAAAACAAGAAAAGGCCAGATCAGGGATGAAGAAGAGGAATTTAACACATTGGTGTCTCAACAAAACAGTCCGTCGCCGGGCAGTTTATTGTGCGACACCGAGTACGCGGTCGTAAAAATGGAGCTTTGTGCGTTTATGCCCTGGGGGGTACGCTTGTACCTCCACGTACGTACACGCGTATGGACATACGCGGGAGTATACTGGGGGCTTTAGTCTCAATGAGCCTCGAGGATAAACGATTACATTCTTGCATTAATGTGCCTTTATTTTAATGGACTTGCCCCCGAGCAGGTGAACAGCAGCTGAAGGTGATCTCGGTCTTTTTATGATGAGATCCTGCACTGGGTTGCTTACTTCTAACCTACAAAGCCCTCAACAACCTAGCTCCATCTTATATTACAGATCTTATTGTTCCATATTTTCCTAACAGAGCACTTCACTCTCAGACTGCAGGTTTACTTGTGGTTCCTAGAGTTTCCAGCAGCAGAATGGGAGGAAGATCCTTCAGTTCTCAGGCTCCTCTCTTGTGGAACCAACTTCCAGTTTCTGTCCATGAGGCTGACACATTGTCCAGTTTAAGACTTTCCTTTTTGATAAATCCTATAGTTAGGGTCAGCTTGTTATGCTGCTATAGACTCAGACTACTAGAGGACAAACTGACCTCATTTCCTTAAATTAATTGTTAAAATTGAATAGTTTTTATTTGATACTATTTCTATCTCAACATGTGATTCTTGACCTGCCATTGTGTATCTGTTCTTACCAAACCCAGCCGGTCGAAGCAGATGGTCCTCTTGTCTTTTTTTCTTTCATTCAACCTTTATTTCTACAGGTTAGTCTCAATGAGCCTCGAAGACTCGTTTACAAGAGACCTGTTGAAATATTAACATGTTAATGTGACGACCTCAGCTGCAGCAACAACACCACCAGCCTGATGAAGAAAGCTCATCAGAGACTCTACTTCCTCAGACGGCTGAGACGAGCTGGTCTGGAAGCTCAGTCCTCACCTCCTTCTACAGGTGTGCAGTGGAGAGCATCCTGTGCTCCAGCATCAACGTGTGGCATGGAGGCTGCACAGCTGCAGAAAGAAAAGCTTTGCAGAGAGTGGTGAAGGCTGCACAGAGAGTCTGTGTGAAGTTAATGGTGACCAGTTAACCAGTGAATACTGGGTGCAGTGGTGGGTATGGTAGTTACAGCCAGTTATGAATCTTAGTGCATTATGATAGACAGCATCCAACATCTGCAGCATCCAACATCTGCAGCATCCAACATCTGCAGGGTTCTTGTAGCAGCGTTCATGTAAATAATGTCACCGTGATCAATGGAGGGAAGGAAAGTCACAGATACAAGGCGTTCCTCAGGGTTCAGAGTTAGACAGGATCTGTTTCTGAAAAAGAAACCCAGTTTAACTTTCAGTTTCTTTACCAAGTTTTCCACGTGGAGCTTAAAGGAGAGATACGAGTCGACCAAGATACTCAAATAAGCGCAGAGGTGACAGGGCCTTCTCTGTAGCAGGACCAAGACTCTGGAACGAGTTACCTCTGCTTGTCAGACAGGCCCCCTCCCTCTCGGTTTTCAAGTCCCATTTAAAAACTCACTACTATTCAGTAGCTTTCAACACCAGATGATCTGTGTTTTGATCCTGTATGCTCCACACTGGTTAGTCGTCATTATCTGCATCGTTTTTATGTCTATATTCTGATTTACCTCATTTTGTATTTTGCTTTGTGTGTTACCTGTTGTTCTGTCTGTACAGCACTTTGGTTGGTCTTGTAGCTGTTTTAAGTGCGCTATAAATAAAGTGGTATGGTAAATATTTATAGGAACCAAAAAACTCAATGGGGACACCATTTGAGGATGAAATCAAAAGAACTGCTGGGACTGACTTCCTGTCTGAAAATGGGACAAATGTGGGTCATCCTTTCAGCTTCAGGGGTCATGAAACACTGCAGCTGCTCTCAGAACACCCCCCCCCCCCCCCCCCCTCATTGTCACAGAAACTGAGCTCCCTGCGTGGAGTTAAACGGATTAGAGTTGATGAGCTGCGAGGGGGAGAGCAAGCAGAGACATCCATCCCACTCCCCTAACCCTCTCTCCATCCCTAAAAAAGAGAAAATGATTTTAGTTGTATAAGTTTTCCTCCCACTCCCTCCATCCATACAGGGGTGTTGTCATGGCAACCCCCTCCCCAGCCTCGAACGTCAGAGTAGGGAGCTGGCGGCTGAAGCCTCGTGCAGCCTCCGTCTCAGAGAGAAGCTGTGATTTCTGCAGCGCTGGACTTTGGTCTCATGACTGTTGTAGTCCGGCCACTCTTCATCCCGCACCATCATCATCACCTGATCCGGCCCGTCCTCAGGTAACAGCACGATGACTTGTGCACTGATTTCTGAACGCACGTGAGCCAGGTGAGGAGGCATGAAGAGTGTGTGTGTGAGGAATGAAGCACAGAGGTCGTTTGGTAGAGGTTACACCTTTCTCCACTCTCTGTCGTCCCTCCATCCTCCTCCCCCTCAGCTCCCACAGCCGCCATGTCGTGGTTGTTCCTGGACTGGTTCGTGCCCCTCTACCTGCTGGTGTCGGTTCTGGTGCTGGCGGGATTCGGAGCGTGTCTTTACTTCCTCGAGCCCGGGCTGCAGGACGCCCACAAATGGAGCAGCAAAACAATCCGGCATCACCCGCTGGTGGCCAGCGTGGACTGCAGAGATGAAGACAGAGATGCCCTCATATGATCGGGGGGGGGGGGGGGGTGTGGGGAGGGGGGGAGGGGAGGCGCCCCCGCTGGGGGGGGGGGGGGGGGGGGTCTGTGTGGACAGGGGTGCAGAGGCCCCTCACACACTGGGGGAGGGCGTGTGCTGACGTGTCATCTCATATGTAAAGCCTGTTCTGTATCATTCCAACTTTTCTTTACTCTCTGCAGAGGCTGGGGGGTCAGTGAGAGACTACGGAGAACACGATGCCCTTTAGTCGTGTGCCAACTTATACACTGGTTTGTTTTTGTGACGATCACTTTGCATCTTAAATACTGTTGTGCACAGAGAAGGGAATGATGCAAGAACAAAACTTTGCTGCCGCTGGAGTTTTTCAACTTCCCCCTGATGTCGTCATGGCAACTGAAGCGCACCAGGATCGTTAGTGCCAAACTCAGCATCACCCATTGAAGACACAAGATGCCAAGAAAATCCTAGATGAGCCAAGAACAAAGCAGGAGTTGTGTAATTACCGTCTCATGCTTCCTTTGTTACTAAAAAAATAAAAGTTTCTGTTTTGTTCCTTCAGTCTTGTCGGAACAGTTTTTAATGGAACACAACTTTATCAATTTCTCCTAATTAAAATTCTGTGGAATATTGAAAAGGGCGTTTAGGTTCCAGTTTACTGGTCCGTGCTGTCCAGGATGTTTTCTGAGTGGGGTGGCAGAACAGTTCTATTCAGCTGATGTGAAGTGGAGGAGTTTGGGAAAGTTTCTGTTGAAATGGTGGAAAGGAACAGGAAATGAGGGTTAATTTAAATATCCAAACAAAACTATAAACATTTTGTTTTGTTAAATGCAGATAACATCACGGACACATTTTCATTCATTCAAACTTTATTTATACAAGTTAGTCCCACTGAGCCTCGGGCACTCTTTTACAAGAGAAACCTGAATTTATTTGTGGAGTGGTGGTGCAGAGGT